GTAAGGGAACGCAAGAGCAATGACGAGCTTCAGGATGCCCGCAAAGAACTAATTAATGTTAGTAGTTTCTACTCTTCCAAGTTTACCCAAGTCCATGACTTTTCATTCTTAACTGATAAGACAAGCTATTTTCACAATTATAAATCTAGGAATATTGTGTTCTCAGCTGTGACAACATAATTTGGTGTGGTCCATATTCCATTTCATTATGATGACGCTACTCAACCCTTATAGTTGTTTAGGGGATTGTAGATGATTAAATATCCTGGGATGGAATGGAGTGGTCAAGAATATTCTTGTCTTCCCCCATGTGGTTGGTAGTGCTAAAAATCCATGAAGAATATTCTTGTCTTCCCTCATGTGGTTGGTAGTGCTAAAAATCCATGATGATGATGAGTTGTTTAATTAACAATGAAGGATTGGAACCCTTTGGTTTCTGGCATTGGTTCTTTTCTTTCTAATTGGATTTGTTTCAGTTAATATCGAACTTCATCATCTGACAATGCAAAATGTTACTCATTATGAGCAATTTCTATTTTTCAGCATGTTGAGTACACAATTCTACCCATTATTTAAATGCATAGCGGATATTTTTTGAAGCTCTCTCATATACTGTACTTGTTCCTATCTCCTGGTTGTTAGATATCACCAATCCCCTTTTTGGCAGGGCTTGAAAGAAATATCAAATCGAGCTCATATTGGTGTAAAGAGAATGGGAGAACTTGATAGTAAACCATTCCTTGAAGCAATGAAGAGAAAATATAACAATGAAGAAGCAGAGGATAGAGCTTCAGAAATTTGCTCATTGTGGGAGGAATATCTTAAAGATCCAGATTGGCATCCTTTCAAAGTTGTTATGGTTGATGGGAAACATCAGGTGTGTCTTCCTAATAGGCATTTATTTGTGCTACATATTGAGCAATGTTGCATATTTCGATGCATTTTATGTTTCCAATGCAAGAAACAAGCTTGGCAAGTATGGTAGGATATATTTCTTGTGGGCCTAGAGTTTACATTCTCAACAACTTGGCACCATTTCCCTTTTGTATACTTCTATACAGTGAGCTAGGATGAATCTAATTTCAGCAATTGAGTTTCCTCTTTGTTGAACAGATTTTCTGTCAATGTGGTCTCGTTTCAGAATTTTCCTCTGAATTTTCCCTTCACCATCTATGACGAGCTCGCACTTTTCTTGAATGGTGTATGAATGTCTGCTTTCTGTCTTAAAAGTAAGCGGCCATGTCAATGTGTTAATCGGGTCAATTTGATTTGTCAAGCTATTTTAAATATCAAGAAATCCAGGAGATGTTAAAAAGTTTACTTGTAGTATTTACATTTGAAGAATTGAATTTATGTACTAATAATTTTATTCTGATATTTTCCTTTTTCTTTCTCATTGTGGTTTTTCCAATCCCTTTGCCAAGTATGCTGCACCTTGATCATTGCTTCCTTTCACAATGAATGGCTAAATTTTAATTGTTGGTTCAGGAAATAATTGATGAAGAAGATGAAAAATTAAGCCGCCTGAGGGATGAGATGGGTGATGAAGCTTACATGTCTGTGAGGACATCCTTAATTCAGGTAAATGAATACAACCCCAGTGGCAGATATATTATCTCGGAGTTGTGGAACTACAAAGAAGGGAAAAAGGCTACCCTGGGAGAGGGAGTCTCATTTTTATTGAGCAGATGGAAAGCACTTAAGCGCAAGAGGGAAGGTTGAAGGTTGGTACCTTCTGTTTCATGTTTCACTTCTGTCTCAGCTGAATAATGTCCTTGCTGTCTCAACTCTCATGTTGATTGTAATGCATCAGAGGAAAAGAGGAAGCACTGGAATTTGGCATTTAGAGAATGAGATGTTTTTCAGAGCTCATCCTGCAGGAATGCTCACTGATTGAAAATCATCCATCTTTTTGTTTAAAAAAAAACTACAAGCAAAGATGTGGGTAACCATTTAAAAGGAATTCAAACCAGTTGTGCATGCTGCATTGTCTCAGTTATCTAGCTTTAATGATTAGGCACCCCTAAAGGTCATTAATAGGAATGGTCATGAAACTTTTTTCTTTTAGCATCCTATTTTGGCATTTGTTTTATTCTAGAAGTTTGAACGCAATGGTCATGAAACTTTTTTCTTTTAGCGTCCTATTTTGGCATTTGTTTTATTCTAGAAACATTGTTGGGATGTACAGGAAAGAACTAATCAACTGCCGAGGTGGAGCGTCGAGACCAGAAATGGAAGACCTTTTATCCGGCAACCAGGAAATAAATCAATCTGCCTAGTGATTGGCTGGTTTAAGGTACGAGATACCTATTCTGTGTAACATACTGAACTTGGTTTTCCGCTCTCATTGGATGTCTTACTCAGAATAAACTGCCATGTGCTGAGATGCGGAATTGGTGTCAGATGATTTTCATAAAGATGTGGACTTAAGTTTGATCCTCCTGGTCTTCAAAAAGTAGAATGTGCATTTTCAGGTGTCCATTCCCTCAGTGTTTGCTGTAAGGCGTACACCTTACAGTTTTCTGAAGGTAGGATAGTAGTGGTCACATTCTTCTAACCTTGTATGTGCTTGCCAGTTTTGTTCCTGCAGATGCAGCAAAACAGCAGACATCCTTTGATTGCTGAAATTGTATTTTAAGAACTCCTTAATGGTCAATAATTTCTTAGCATAATGACCACGAACAGTCATCTTTGCAAATTGTCTTTTCATCAATTTGGCCAATTTAGAATGTTTGAATCATGATTTAGCTGAGATTATTCAAATTGAGTTTTACTTGTCATTTTATACATGAGATCAAACTTGGTCACGAGACAAGAACACGTGTAGAGGTACGCTTGAACCCAGAAATCTCGACAAAGGTAAATCTGGATAATTTTCATGCAATTTTTCATTCCCTGTCAAATGCTTAAAGATGACCCGAAGTTCATCATAATTAGGAGCAGTACAACATGAACACAAGCTCTTGTCTGTTAATTAGTAATTAGTTCTTGTACTAAAAAGTTTATATGGGCAGCTGTAGTTGGTTGGGCCTGGGGTTTTGAATTACTTTTGTTTACAGTAAACGTGAACAAGTCCAAACTGTATATTACCTCTAGAATATTAGAGTTCAAAATGCTCCTCTTCGGCTTCAATAGTTTAAAATTTTCCATGATCGGTCTCGCTGCTTGCATAAATTTGCAAGAAGACCAGAGGAGTGAACAGGGTTGGGCGGCCTCTAGACTTCGCACGAGCGCAGTACGATTGTTAGGCATTTTTTTTTTTCACTCTTTATTTTTTTATGTTTTTATATTGAGTGTTGAAAATAAATTTTAAAAAATAAAAAAATCTTTTTTTAACGCACATTCCCAGACAAACAGGCGGACAGGTCTCGGTTTACAGGCAAGTCAACTTCGGCATGACATAAATTTGACAAAAATAAAATTTGCTTATTTAAGTATACTCAAAGAAAATTACTAATGTTTTTTTCTTATTAACTCACCATCCATGAATCTTTAAACCAAACCCATACGGCTAATAGCACAAATACCCATGTAATTTTATCAGTAAACATGAGATAGATAAGTCACTTAAAACGAAATGGAATTGGCACCCAAAACACACTTTGCATAAGGTTGGTTTGAGTTTGAACTTTGTGGTTTGTTTTGGTTAACTGGATGCAGGGTTCTTGCAATGTAAGGAAATAAATATAATATTTATTTTATGTTTAATTTAGTAAAATAAAATTTAAACTAAGGAAATAAATACAATATAAATTTCAAGAACCAAACTAAAAGTAAGGAAATAAATATAATATTTATTTTATGTTTAATTTAGTAAAATAAAATTTAAATATATCGATTCAAAACAATATAAATTTCAAGAACCAAACTAAAATACAATATAAATTTTAAGAACTAAACTAAAATAAAATTTCAGCTCAGTTTTATTTGGATTCAATTAAAAAAAATTATATTTAAGATTAGCTCAGTTTTATTTAGATTCGGATTATTAAAAAAAATTATATTTAAAATTATGATAGTAATAGTGATTTAAATTACTTGTCGTTTAAAATTATATTAAAATAATATTTTTTTATTTTTTAAAAAATTATTTTTTAAATTAGTATATAAACAATTTGAAATATAAAAAAATTAGTAAAAAATATTTTTAAAATTTAAAAAAATATAATTTCCACTGTGTTCCTAAATTGTGTTCCTAAATGATATAAAAAAATAAATGATGTCACCGCAATGTGATGGTTTCAAGATTAGAAGAGTTTTTTAATAATGATGTTAAAATTATTTTATCAATATAAAAAAATTAGTAAAAAATATTTTAAAAATTTTAAAAAATATAATTACCACTGTGTTCCTAAATGATGTAAAAAAATAAATGATGTCACTACAATGTGATGGTTTCAAGATCTACAAGAGTTTTTAATAATGATGTTAAAATTATTTTATCTTTCAAATTTTATATTTTGAGATAAATTAAAAATATATTTTAAATAATATTTTATTAAAATCTATTAAATTCTTAATTTGATGTAAAGTAAGATTATAAAAATATTTTATGAATACTAGCAAGTGATCTTTCTATACAAATCACTATAATTAATATTTTCATTTAATTCAATTGATTTATATATATTTTATCCACTATTTGCCCTTTGATTCTTTATCTTTTAATGAAAAAATAAAATAAAATGTAATTAGAAGCTGATTTGTAGTCGAAGAATCAAAAAAAAAAGAGTAATTAGAAGCTGATTTGTAGTCGAAGAACCTAATCATGAAAAAAAAGGATGAAAAATCAAATTGAAAATTTTTAAACATTTTACTATTTTAATACACAACAATTTGTAACAGGATGAAAAGTAAAATGCTACAGTGTCTTGCTTATCTTCTTGCCACCTGTCATTGTTTAAAACTTTTCCATTGCCACCTTTCTTCTGTCCTGTAACTAAAAGTTTAGTACATTTTGTACGCTCTCAATTTCCCATGCCGTCTTTAGCTCTCTCCGACTCAATTTTCATGTCTGCACCAAAATTAAGCTCTAAGGTTAGTCCCTCTCTTCTTTAACCCTCTCTTTGTGTTTTGCATTTGCTCTGTATTTTGATTAATGGGTCAGATTCAGATGGACGTTCTAGCATTTCATTCACGTTTTGATGTCATATTGCTTGCATTTTTCCTTCTCTAATCCGATTCTCAGTTTCCATGTTTGAAATCTTTATTACAGTCTTCGTCTTTAAGATATTGCAATGGTTTCTTTTTTAAGAGCTGCTCCTTCAAGCTAAAAGTGGAATAAAGACTGGGGTAATTACTTCTAATTTAGGAAAAATATGAGGCGTAAACCTTTTGTTTTTTCATACATTTGAAAATCGAATTGTTTTCTTGCGTTTCGGAGGCAAGTTTGTGAAGAAATCATCTTTAACTTCGAAACATTGGCATTTCACGAGTCCAACATTTTTGAGATTAAATCCTATTCTTGCCAGAATGCAATCTAAAAAGCTAACTAAATGCAAAGAACTTTGGGCTTAAATTTTACTTTATAACACAGCTTGTGCTCTTGATCTGTGTGTTTGTTTCAATTAGATTTATATCATTAATGATTCCAATACTGTAAAAAAATTAATCACAATTATGCTTCATAATTGACATGAATGATGCGATTTAGCAGAGTGCTTTAGACCCACGAACTTGTTCATTTTACGTTATTATTATTATACTGCACAACAGGGGCATGCCCTTTATTCCCTCAATCGATTTTAGTCGTGAAAAGGACAGGCTTCACTAGTTAAGACTTAAGGTAGTTGGCATGCCCCTATTAATCAAATATTTTCCAGTGTCCATCTGAACGTTAAGTTTGCCTTTTGCTGTAGGCATCTCGGTATTGTGCTCAAATGGGGAACTGGAATGTTGACGAGGAGCTAAAGCAAGCACATAAGCTTATTAAGAGTCTTGTTGAGGAGATTGATTTCAAAAACCATAAGTTGTCCATGATGCAGTCTAATTATGAGGAAACGATTGCCCATATACGCAAAGTTGTTATTGGACTTACAGAGACGATAAATTCCAAAGATAAAAAATTGTTGGAATTGGAACAGAGATATCAGGAGAGTTCTGCAGCTGTGAGATGGTTGATGAACGAGAAAGCCATGCAGGGCGAGGTCTATGGAAAAGGTATCTTACATGTAGTAATAAATGAGTTTGAGTGGAACTGAGTGCTAGGAAAAAAAATCATCATTTGAGGGCAACATATGGTTACAAGGCTTGAGAATGTTGAAACTGCTATTGAGCCTACAGAGTCCAGGACCGCCTGGGGATCAAATTAATCTGTGTTGCTATACTTGCCTTGAGTATTGTATTTTGGGAAAAATATAGTAACAAGGATGAAAGAATGTTCTCTCTTGAAGCTTCCCCTTCTGTGCATAAATAGCCTATTTATGCAGAGTTCACCGTGATTTCTTGTTTTAAATTGAACCATTGTTTCAAACAGCACATTATCTGGTACATGCATTTGGACAATAGGGAAACTATGGCCTCTGTATTACTTGAACATGCCTCTTGAACAGCAGATGCTGCATTTTAGAGAAAGCTTCAATTTCCTGATATCAAACTGAAAGCTTCATGGTCACTAAAAACTGAAGATTGGGCACTCACTACACCATATCGCACAAACTATAAGATTTTACTTTATGAAATTAATAGACCACTTGTGTTTGAGATGTGTGCTCTCACTACTGCTTTGATACTGCAACAAGTATACAAGGCATCGAGTGATTGGAAACACAGAAAAGAAAACCTTATTTAGAATGGTCCCTTGAATTATTAAATGCAGCCATAAGCTACAATACACTCAAGAATGAAGTCTTTAAGAAGTTGCTTATCTCCCTGAAACAAATTCACTCCGGAATTATATTATAATCTCAGAATTTCTTGTTTTCATGTTGATTATGCTCTATGCTTAGATTTATCTGGCAAGTGTAGGTAAAGAGTAAGTGTTTCCTGACTTGTATATGCTTTACTCAACTTGTGATAATCCCAGAAATTAGAAAATTAAAGTCCACCAATGCCAAGCTGAGGAATGGCATCGAATGGCACAAGAAAAGGCTCTAGGCGCTAACCAAAGAATTGGAAGAGTGCAAAGGCACTGAATGACATGGCGGCAAGTACTTTAGTGAATGAAACAGAGGGGAATAACATGGAATGTCAAAAAAATGAGTTCGAGCAGCTACATAAAGAACTGGAGGAGCACAAGGCCCATAATGATATGGAGAGAAGAGCTTCTGTGGATGAGACAAAGAGGAACAGAATTGGATGTCAAAACAAAGAGCTCGAGCAACAAACCAAAGAACTGGAGGAGCATAAAGCTCATAATGATATGGAATGAAGAACTTCTGTGGATGGGACAGAGGAATAGCATTGGGTATCAAAAGAAAGATCTCGAGCAACAAACAGAAGAACTGGAGGAGCACAAGGCCCAGAATGATATGGAGAGAATAACTTCAGAGGAAGAGATAGAGAGGAATAAAATGGAATGCCAAAAGAGAGAGATTGGGCATCGAACCATAGAACTGGAGGAGTGTTGGTATAAAATGGAATGTCAAAAGAGATAGCTCGAGCAGCCAACCAAAGTACTGGAGCAATGCAAGGTCCAGAATGACCTGGAAAGGGAAACTTTATTGTATGATATAAATAAGGTCAGTATACTATAACTTGCCCATAAAGTACATCAGAGATGATTAAAACCCTCGTTGGCCATTGCATTGTAAAACGGCTATAGATGTGGTCGCTGCATCAGCTCCTTCTTTGTTGGCCATTGCATGGGCAGTCACTTCCAAAAAGACACTATCGTTGCTGCTGTGGATAATATCTAAGATATCGACAGAGGTAAAAAAAAGGTTTTTGCAGTTTGTTTCATGTATTGTTGATAAACTAAAGCAGAAGGATTTATGTACTAAAAAACAGCTTTGAAACTATCTAAGATATCGACAGAGGTAAAAAAAGGTTTTTGCAGTTTGTTTAATGTATTGTTGATAAACTAAAGCAGAAGAATTTGTGTACTAAAAAACAGCTTTGAAACTATCTAGATGTAGCAACACTTTCATGTCTACAACCAGCTAAATCATCTGTATTCTAGTTGTGCTTCACATTTTCCTTCAGAATTCAGCATCATAGATCCCAATGTAACCACGTTAGTCCCACGTGATGGGATCCTCATAGAAATCTGCTGAGCAGAGAAAGAAATTGGTCATGTATCTCGGTTATCATCTTCTCCGTCTTCTCGTAGGTTTTAACTGTGAGAATATGCTTACACCTTTGGCACATGGAGACCAGTCTTCTTGGTTAGGTTTTAGGCTAGGAATCCATAATCGGATGCATCCTCTGATGCATTTTTAACATAATGAGGTACTTGCTAATTGTTTTTTAAAATGTTTTTATTTTAAAAATTATTTTTGATATTAATACATCAAATGATTCAGAAATACATAAAAAATATAATTTTAAACAAAAAAAATAATTTTTATCAAACACCTGTTTAGAACGTAATTCTAGACAACACCGAATTCATGTAACCTCTCTTCTCTTTGATTGTAACTCAAGATTGTAAAGTGGGAAATAGTGCTTAGCAGCAAGCCTGATTTGTTTTGCCACCTGCTCGAGCCATGATCCGGGGCTGTTGTATATCGGTTGGCTCCTCATCCAAGAGTGGGAAGTCGGTCCAAAAGCCCACACAACCTGAGTTACAAAACATAAGAATTGGGCCCTAAGCCCATACAACATCAGTTGTAAGACATAAACAGTGGGCTTTAAGCTTTGTGAAACCCTAGGGACCGGACTTGCAGCTATAAAAAAACGAAAAAAGGGAAATGCCTATCCCATCTCACGCCATTTCCCATCTCCAGCCGACACCGAAAGCAACTGTGGCGAAACCCTAGGGTTAAGAATACAATTTATTTGAATCGACAGGCCTATTTATAAGCATGTATGGGTTATGATTATAATGAGAGAGGGCTTAAGTGGGATCTTCAACAAAACCCGTTCGGATTTGAGGGTTAAAAAATGATGGAAATAGCCAAGCACAAAAGAAGAAGAAGCCGCCACTCCGAGAGTCAGGCTTTGGTTTCTCTTCAGTTTGTCTCCTTTTTCCTCTTTTTTAGCTATTCTTTCTTTCTGGGTTTTCCACAATGACAGACCTTTTAATTTTTACACTTGATATGAGCCCGCATGTCAAATTTATATTATATTTTAGCTTTTGCATTGATTTGATTTTATTAGAAGACTTTTTTTTATATAGGCATGTGTTGTTTCTGTTATGGGGAAGCATTTTTTGTTAGTTTTCTCATTTAACAACCGTGCAATAGAGAAAGCCTTGTTACTTCACTTTCTTTTCAAGAGCAGAAAATTTTGCTTTTTGGAATCTGGTGAGGTAATTAGGCAGCGGCCAGACAACCGTAGGGATGATATCCACAGATGACGGGCTGTTAATCCCGCTTTGTCTACTGATTCCATCTCACATTTCTTACTTTGATGGTTTTAATGTTGGTTAATTGTCAGGAGCCCCTAAATCCATACAACCCAAGATAACTAAAACCGAGCAGATGCGGATGAAATACTGGTTTTGTTTCTAGATTTTGTCATTCTTTTTTGGGTTTTTAGAATCTAATTATTTTTTTATCGCATGTAGTAAGATTTATGATAAAACATGGGTGAAATTTTACACCTTCAAAAATGTTTTGCTGAAAAAAGGTTGTTACCTGCATGGCCTTTTGCATCTTGAAGGCATACCATAAGCACAGGATGATGGACACAACCTGATTTCGGTACATTCATTTAGTGTTCTAAGTTTCTTTCATTGAGAAAATTTGGAGAGACGCTTACCTCAATTCGTTTGAGGATTATGTTTTTATGCAAATAGCTACATGTAATCTAGGAGAGCTTTTTCCTGGATTTTATTGCGTGCTTGGTCATGGGCATCTGCCATATTAGGTTTGTTTTGTTTTGCCACGTGGTTCATTCTTGATAGGCATTTTCCTACACTATTGAAAACTAGAGGTCCGGTGCCTCCAAATGCAACTTTAAGATTGAGAATTTGAGGCAGAGCAAAAGCCCTTGCAACAGTAGAAATGATACTAGAAGAAACTTTGGTCGAGAATTTAAGAACATTTGAAGGTTTCCCCAACAAATGGACGTCTCGTGGACATATGAAGGACGATGTAGCTACATACAATTCCTGGACAAAAATGCTCCACGCATCAAGAAATACCATACCAGTATATATGCATTGCTGTTTTGCGTAACAGGAAGCTCCCTTAAATCTAATCGAGTTCATTCGACCATCCTTGTTTGAACTATGCTTGTAATTTTCGTTGTGATTTCTGAACCTGAAAGTCCTACGTTGTCTGTAATCCTGATGCTTGCCCAATCAGTGACAATATGCCAAAACGTTATTGGTTTGTGAACCTCCATCGTGGTTCTATTGTTTTAATTGAGTTGACTCGTAGTTCCATTACAATGGTCCAAATCCGGTGGCTGCATTGGCTTAGCCGCATTTCCCATTAACAACTCCCGCCTTCCCGGAGAGAAATCCCACTCCGACTTGCAGGGACTAAAATGACGGATATTGGCACTCCGGCATGAGAAGCGAAGGGCAAGAAGAAAGGTGAGCAGGGGACTTGGAATTAGCTGGGAATGCGACAGTAAAGCAAAAGATTAACTACTGCTCCGTCATGAGAACGAAGGTCAAGAAGAAAGAGGTGAGCAGGGGACTCAGAATTAGCTAGTAAAAATGCAATAGTAAAGCAAAAGATTCACAACTGCTACAAAAATTGCTTACACGACTTACCTTCAAACAAAAGTGAAAATAGAATGGGCTCTCCTGGAAAGTGGAAGCAAAGGTAAAGAAGGATTGATTATAAATTTGTAGCTGGGGTTTTATCATCTTGCAAACGTGGATCTTACTTTTTCAATTCATCTACGAAAAACTCGAAACCTTTGGAAAAAAGAAGTGGGTTAAATCTGTTAGGCCTGCTTATTTGATGATCTGGGCTGTGTACTAACAACAAGAACAAGAAGATTAATCTTGGGCCAATTCAAAACACCCCAGTCGTCCTTATCCATTTTGTTATCACAGTAAATGCTGTCCCATTCTTTATGGTTTCTATTTTTCCTTTCTCGTATTCGCGCGAAGACTGAAGACAGGCATCAGTGTAAGATAATATTATTAACCAGAATAGAATCTTTGACTTGTTTGTCACCTCACCCATCGCCACCGAAGAAAAGAAATCATTCATGTTTTTACCATCCTTCGAGGTCCTTCGAGGCAAGAGCCAGCTATGGCGCCCCTTGTAGTCTTGCATCTTTTCTTCTCAAGTTCAACAGTTTCGTTTTCCTTTAATGCGGTTTCAATAAGAATAACTTTCTCCGCTCATCCCAAGATCGTTAAATAAGCAAAATTGATGTTTAATATTTGGGAATTGCAATTGGCACAGCCCCGTCGCTTTTTTCTCACAATCAAATGACTAAACTAAACCTCTTCTATCTTTTTGACCTTGTAGAACGCCGTCGGGAGAGTGTGTTTATTTTATCAAGGCCGCCCTTTATACATTATTTTAATCGAAAAAGAGTAGCACAATGTCTCCCTGCAGATGCAAAGACGTGTTAACGTTGTCTTTACAGCCTTGGAAGAAAGACCTCGTCGAGATAATTTCCACAGATTTTTTATTCGGGGAAATAAGAGGATAATAGTTTCACATCCGAAGCCACAAAGATTGATTATTGATGGCTAGAATTCAAAGTGACAGCCAATTGAATCGAAAAGGAAAAGATGAGAGTCCCAAATCACGGCGATCCACCAAAAAAACCAAGGATGAGCTATAGTCTTTCAAAGAAAGAAGAAGGGCAGTAGCCTTAAAATTCTTATCGTCAACAGTGACCACCTTTTTATGGAATAGTTTCAGCTTGACTTGGTTAATATACTACAACTGTGATCAATAACCACAGGTTCTAATCTTTACTGGTTTTTTTTTCTTTTGACATCATTTTCTCAGCAACCAAAGGGAAAGCAAAGCGAAGATAATGATTCTTTTTGCTCTCTCACATAAAGCGTAGGATAGGTATCTAGCTTTTTAGTAATAGATTATTACTTCAGAATTCAGAAGGTCAAGTCAGATTAAAAAAAAGAGGGGGAAATCTGTGCTCATCATAGACAGGAAGGCTGAGCCTATAGCCATTCCCTTAATATTTTAGAACATCCAAGTTACTTTTTATCAAATGAGCTCAATTGCGTGCCGCAACTTTTATCGACTCTTGCAGGAAATGCATCCATATTATAAAATTTAAACGTCTAAAATCACTTACAGAAAACAAAGAAACAAGATTCTTGTATGTATATATATATAGATATTAATTTATAACATGGTAAACAAAAGCGGCGGGCTACATTCATCCTTGCAGCCACCTCTGCTTCCGACCTTACTACATTCACTTTTTCACCTTTTTTTTTATCCATTAACATAACAACCACCCAAAAAAAGGAAAAAATCTCTCCCTTTCACCGCCACCACCGACACACTTTTCTTATTTCCACTTTTTTCACCCGGGAAAGAAAAGGCACGGAAAAAAGAAGCCAACATATCAAGAGGGAAATTCAAATTAAACCAGTTTAAACCCTAAAATTCTTTCCAACGAAAGTTTGACTAAATTGCCAGTTTGAAGGAACAACGTTCCATGAAGTAGAGGTGCGTCTATCACTGCCGGTGACCCTGAAAGATAATGACTGACCAACCAAAACTGAGTTTGACTGCCAGTTTTGACCCCAGTTACGACTCATGCTCATCCACCCAGTCTTTGATCCCTTCACGCTCACTTTCACAATATCTCCTGCACCTGCAACGTTGGTGATCAAAACCAAGTTGAAGTAACGGTGACCGTTGATTTGGAACCTGATCCCCCCTCGTTTTCTACACGGTACCCTATAAAAGAAACAGATGACATTTTAGTAATTTGGAGGTGGGAACAAAGTAGATATCCTATCTGATCTCTTCAGAAAATACAGTTGATCAGAAGTTTCAGAAGATTGTACGCTGAGAAATCTTGAAAGACCAGTCATTCTATACTATCATAGGAAATTATGCAATCACATTTTATAGTCTAGAGTCCAGACAGATTTATTTGCACTAAACTGATAAATAGGTTGTATGTTTACCGGCGGTAAGAGACAGGAACGATGCCAGCACGGTACTCAGCGATCTTGAGGAACATGGGCATAGCAAGATCGAAGTGAGGACGAGGAGGATTGCACCAACCACCATTGTCACTGGGCAATGCATAATTAGGAGGGCAAAAGTTTGTTGCTGTGATTAAAATTGACGGGCTACCAGAGTGGCACCATTGTGGGTCATTACCGCACTTTATTTCAAAACAAGCACCACAACTAAGGCCACTGTTGAACAGGGCTGTGCTTAGTGCTGCGGTATTCACGCCATAGCCTTGGCTGTACAAGTTGCCGTACCCGCAAGCGCCGCCTGAACACAAGAAATAAATCAATTAATTTCCTTATGTGGGATTTAGACTTTTGGTTTTTGAATAATTAAAATGGAATTTTAATAGTCGTTTGCAATGCGCGGTATTGGCTTGTGCTAATTGCGTTTAAATGCCTTAGAAATCTGATTTTGGTTAAAACAGAGTTCAGTGCTGTTTAAAGCAGGGAAAGGTGTGGGCTTGCTCTGTATTTATGGTTCTGTCATGGAAAATGCAAGAAGAAAACATGGGAGGGGCTATACAAAATGTGGAAACAACTCACGAACTTATCAAAAATTCAAGAAGCTAACTACTTAGCATGAACGGTTCAAGATGACAGTACCCATAGTTCCAGAGGCATCACTGCCACCGTAAAAAGTAGCATGCGCGCTCTGCCAGGCTCCTCCAGTGTAAACACCAGGAATTCTTGCCTCGACAAGAGTCAAAAACAGCACCAAAGACGCAACACAAGTGGTAGCCCTAATAGCCATTGCTTCCACCTGTCGCTAGACTATGCAGAGGCTTCTAGAGATGGGGATTTGGGACAGGGGGGAGTGTGAGGAGAAGGCGGGGAGTGGACTGCTATTTATGGAGGCAAAAAGCATGCATTGTCAAAAAAGACAAACCAAATTATAATCACCGTTAATTAGTGCTTGATTTGGCATCAAGATGATTAAGCAAAATTCCCTCCCCTGGCGGTAACCCTTTCAACGTCCGTCAAATTTCTACTGCTACAGTTTGTTTACAAAAACACCCTCGTGGTATTTTGGTTGAAAACGGTAAGGGCATTTGGTGGGGTGCCGATGAAGGACACGAGACTCAAGAGGATCAACCATCAAGGCTGGTATGAAACCGCTTTGCTTCATTTCAAATTTGTGCCATTGATTACAGTTTTGTCTAAAAATTGCTAACTTTATTGTCTTTTTCTGACTTCTGATTTTTCCCTCCATTGAAATTTCGGACTGAAGGGATTGATGGGCTTGAATCTGGAGGGAATAGTGGGGCTACAAGCTTTTACGGATCATAGAATGTAACATGATATTTCATATAACGTGCGTGCTGCTTTAGACTACAAATCAAGCGTGTAATGTGGAAACTCTGCACACGCTACTTTTAAGTAGTGTATATAGTATAGAAATCTCGAAAAAAAATTACGTGTGAAGTTGAAGAACGTTGCATTAGGAATCATGTAAGATTACTTTTAAGTAGCGTTTTTGGATTCACGTTGAAAGCTAAAGGTCTGCTCATTTGTCAATCATGCAAGAGCTTGATGTGAAAATGACCCGTAAACAGCCGTGTGAGGTTGAAGAACGTTGCATTAGGAATCGTAAGCACAGAATTTAAAGGGCTGGTGCAAGCCATCATGTTCTCTATTTATCATGAATACAAGGGACACCATAAAAAGCAATTAAAACTAGTCAAGAATGACGAGAGAAAGGGTAGCGGTTCCTTCTTTTCTCTATGCAGTTCTTATCCACTGGCAACATCAAAATAAAGCAATGCCTATAAACCTTGAAGGATACTGCACCCGCCTCATTGAATATTTTCACAGAAAAGGCAAGTCTCAACGGGCCGTAGTTGGATAGAGGTGGGACCCAGATACCCGGATTTATCGGTCCACGTATTACGCCGTGCATTAGCCGTACGCTTGTTGGACTCCACCTCTTCCTCGGGTCTTCTCGGTCACGGTGTTCGTATTTTTCTACGTTGGTGTCAACTTTTACCGGAGTTGCCTTGTGTTTCCAGCCCGCACCTAATAGGAAAGCAGGTTGATTGATTTGCCATGCTGATCCCTTTCAGTAATTTTGATTTCTTAAAACTCTGACTATTATAGTATTTCTAGGATTGATTTCGCCTTGAATAAATCCTTCCCCTTTCCAGTTTAGACAGGTCATCATCATCTTTATTGAAGGAGAGATTTAAGTAAAGGCAAGGTGATTGATATACCATCTCGTGCAAATCTTTTGAAGTTGAACCTCAAATTTTCAAGTTTAAGAAAAATGTCCAAAAAAATGACAAACTGCAATAAGTTTAGGATGCAGCAAGGAATCCATCCACCTAACATCAGATACGTACTAAATCTAACCAGCGAGACCTTGAGAACTGTTAGGACGGTGTGCTTTACCGGTCTGGCATTAAGGATGCTGGCTGATGACGCAAACTCCATGTCCAATCTGATCATATCAACCAAATCTTAGAAGATCCACCACGTCATCAAAATAATTAAGCTCTTGTTCAACAACACACCGACCTGTCACCCACAACACCCTTTACCTAGCAAGATTAAATTGTTTTAGCTCATGCAATGAGACTCCAACTCATTGCATGTGAAATTGCCCACCAGAACTTCACCTCTCCACCCAACATCTTCATTAATGTCACCCTAACTAGCTACTTTCTACTACAATTTTGTTTTCAATTGACCCAGTTAAACCCCAAAGTTAAGCATTTCTTTTTCCTTCTGGGCTGGGGCGGTTTTCCCCTTTTCAACCCAAGAAGGAAAAAAGAATGCTTCTTGTAGCACTTCTCAGGTTACTTACTGATCTAAAGCCAATACCCTGTGGACGAAGGCGCTAAAAAGAACTCCTACGTGTGCATTGAGAACTTTGCGAATCTTGAAGATATTGTTCTTTCCGAATGGATAATTTTGCTGTAACTTTTTTTTCCACTAGCTAGCGTTTAGTGGCGCAGGCGAGGCAAGTTGTTATTGATTACTTTTCATTTGGCATGGGATTATAAATACCAATTAATTGATTTTATCTTTTTGAAGTGAAATATACGACAAGTATATATCATTAGCCAGATCGATTACAAAGAGAAGCAAGGGACAGTTACAAGTTTGGAAGCAATTTAAGCAGGTTTTTGGTATAATCACTAGCCTCTCAGCGATTCAATACTTTCATTTGAGGTTTGGTATGTATAATTAAGACGGTCTGGAGGACATAATCGGCATTCAATAGAGTAATATATGCCCCACGTCACGAGCCGTTGGCCTTCATTAAACTCAAAAATAAATAGGGTATATTTATCGCTTTATAAAATGATTATTCAAGACTTTACTTATCAGATTTATATAAAAAATAAAAAATAAAATATAAAATATATTTCTTAAACATTTTAAAAGACCTTATAAATCCCATTCACCTTAAACTCCCTCGTCCAGTTCCCCCAACCCAAGCAAGGAAAAGAAGAAGAAACGAAAAACTCTTTCAGTTTGCGGTCTAAAATAAATATTTCAAACCCTACACGTGTGAGGAAATTGTTCAATCGGAAGCTAACAGGTGGCACGACCGATGCTTGAAAAGGCAATTTTGACAAAGCATGATGGGTATTAATAATTCTACCTTTTTGAACTTGGAAGATCTTGTGATCAAAATTATTATAGAAGTTACTACAAGTTTTCTAGCGTATGATTTTTCTTATTTAGTCGTTACTCGTTATAAAGGATTTAATGTCCGGTATTTAAATTAGTAAAGTTCATTGTATGTTCTTTGGCATGCACTGATGCATGATTTTAAGACAACTCTCTCGAGTTCTATCCTTCCGATCTTCTCTTACACAATTTACTGTTTTTTTTCCAATTTACTTTATGCTTTAACTTTATGTTTTGATTTATTGCTGTTTTTGTTGTAGCTTTATCATATATTTTATCTTGCAATTTACCCCTCACAAGATTTACTCTTTGCATGATTTACATATTGCCTTTTTTATTGTGTAATTTAACTCTTTCATTTTATCTATATGCAAAAACTAATGAGATTTAAATTTACAATCATTTTATCATTAATTAAAATTATGATACTATATTAAAAAATTATTTTAATTCAATAACTTAAATTGTTAAATAAAATTATAATATATAATTTATATTATTATTATTATTTAATATATAATATATAAAATGAAAACTCTTCATAATTAGTTATTGTGGGAATGTTATGGATGCTGTTTTCAGAAAAATTATTGTTTTGAGAATTGCTTTGTTAATTCTTAATCATTTGAATTTATTATCTCCAAGTTTTTTGAGGGTTTATAATCTTACTTGATTATGAAATATAGTTTTCACCGCTTTACATATAGAACTCTAAAAATGATAAAGTATTTACATTTTTGAAGGAATAAAAATATTTATGTTAATAACACTGCTACGAAAGTAAAGTCTCTTAAATCTTTTTTTATGTGGAGAGGATTGAAGTGTAATTACAATATAAGAAATAAAGAAATGAGAATAACCGTGTTATTGTGATGCGATTACTTATATCTATAAATTGTACCAAAAATCCCTCTTGCGATACAAGCATGATCGTGGAGGTGTTTGTAATCCTTTTTTATAATTGTTTTTTACAATTATTTTTAATTTTTAAAAATTTATTAAATTACTATTTTTTTAATATTTTTAATGATTTCAACATGTTAAGATCCTGATATACAAAATAATAATACACAACTTAAGAGAGTATGATAAAATAAAAAATTAAACATATAAAAATTTTGATGATTCAACCAATTTTGATTACATTTAAAGACAAATATAAAAAGAATTTTATCAAGTAATATAAAAATTATAATTATTTTCTATTATAGTACGAGAACACATTTTATCACAAATACCTTAATATATCTTTCCTTACTATACTTCTCTTCTGCTTGATGTATTTTCTCTATTTTATTATATATAAAATATAAAATATAAAAAAATATTTTAATATATTTTTAAATAAAAATAATTTTAAAAAATACTCCGGATCACAGTCTGAAAAACTCTTATACCAACTACTTGATATTATTTTCATTATGTAATTAAATTTATATAAAAAAATAAAATTATTAAGTCTGGACTTTATTTTATTGTATTAAATTAAATGATTAGGTATACAATCACTAGCCAGGCCAAGCGATCAACATCCTTCTTTGAAAAACCTGAACAGCACTGACAGCACTCATGATTTACAAACAATTCAAAACGGAGTCCTGTGAATTACAAACTGATCGATTGGTCGCTAATATGTTCTGTACAAAAGCAACAAAAGCGTCAAAGACCATTGCATCACTACCATAAAGTCAATTATCTTGGAACAATCTACTATACTAATTACCCATGCTTGCATCTTCTAGAAAACTTGCCTGCTCTTTGTCGGACCATTTTATCGGACCAAGGGACCATTATTTCCTTTCATGTCTCCTATTAAGAAGAACCCATGCACCTATAGGCAATCCTCCATTGAGCTTTACGCAATCCCTAAAAATGTTCCAAGTCTCTCGAGCAAGCAAGTTTGGAATCATATCTAGAGTTTCTCTAGCGAGCACCGCCACTAACCATCGACTTTTCTTATCTTCCCTTCCTTTTTCTTTCCCTTCCTATGGCCCCTACATGGCATGCTTTAATTCTTTCCCTGCCTCCTACGAGGGCCCTCATGACTTTTGCATTTGACTCTCAACTATATGGGTGCTTCGCTACTTTAAAGTTCAGGGAAGAGTAGCTACCAAACCAACATAACCACCATCAGCGATGGCAATAGGTCCAACCGAATCATTTCTTCAAGGAGCACATGAATGGAACGGCCTTTAGTG